CGCAGTGAACAGATCCCGGAATGTGGGCCAGCGGACGTAGTCCCCTGTGAATGCCTCAATATTGATGGGAGGCAGTCGACAGCCGCCCTGTTGGACTGGCTGTGAAGGAGGAAGAACTGTGGATGTGGCCAGTTGGGCATAGAGGTCACTGAGGCACTGCTCAAATACCCCATAGCATTCACCGTATGTGTCACGGATGTCCGCTTGGATTTCTGGCTCCTCGTCAGTCATCACCGCGGAGCAGGCCTTATATTCGGCCTCGACGTCCGTCCACATGCTGAGGATTTGGCCTCGACGGACCTCGGACAAAGAGGCGGATGGGGCGGCGGTGATGCGCTCTGCCAGGTGCGACAGTCGGCCAATAGCGGCGGCCAATTTGGTCCGAGCGACTGAGGTGGCGGATTGAGCCATTGTGATGCAGTGGCGAGAGCTGACGGGGCTGCTGACGAAGGAGCCCTTCGGATCTTGTTTGGTCACACCTTAAGAGTGACAGGAGACGGGAACAGAACCGATTTGGTCCTTGCCGCAGGGCTGCTACTGGCTGCTCTCGGAGTAAGGGGTGCCTTGATTCTCTGAGTAGGCGTAGTTCCGGAGGCGGACGAGGTGTGTAGCCGGTTGGAAGAGGTCACAGGCAGAAGCTGGTTGCCGTCCTTGTGTCCTGTTGGCATATTCCAAACTCACACACGCACTGAAAATCGGATTTGGAAGTCCTGGAGGGACAGAAGACTGATCTGAGTGGAATTCCAACAGAAAGACGCCAGGAAACAAATATAACCCACTTATGGAAGGCTGTCAGGAAAAAGGCCTCGAGCTTGTTGGAAAACAATAGTCGGGTCGACTCGGATTGTTTGAGATCACGGTGAAGCGAAATTTCTCAAACAATGAGTGACTTATATTGCGCTGAGTGACTTATATTGCGCTGAGCCGAGGAGAGGACCGGTTACACTGATTTTGGCAATATTTTGCAAATATTGTTAGTGCGGGCTCCTCCGTTTACCTCTTTGGCGCAGTCGTGATCAGAACTGGGTTATTTGCGGATGGACGGCGGACGGAATGGCATTTATATCCTCGATAGTTGATTGGAATGGGCGATAGTTTGCTCTTGATGTCGGTTTGGATCGACAAAGTGCAGATAAACCTAGTCGCCGTAAGCGTTACCGGAAGCTACAGTCAAGAATATGACTGCGGAGTGGGCGCTGGAGAACTATCGGGAGAAATACCGAAGGAAAACAGAAAATATCAGAAAAAGGAGGACGAAACGGTTTAAATAAGAAATCGTGGATCGTTTAATTTATTTCTTGTAGTGTCGGTGTGTTTGTTTGGAAATTGTATTTTTATTTTTTATTAATTTATTTTCGGTCGAACGCAAGACTCGGTTACGATACCGATATTTTTGGATTGCGCCACCTCTGATGCACGGAACAAAAAAAAAAACAACAACAAAGGACCGAAACACCAATTTGCCAATTGGCAGTGGAAATTGCCAAATAATTACTATAAGTGCGCCGTGCCTTGGTCGCGAGTAATTTATTTGGAAAGTGGAGAATGTTGGAGTTGGGGTAGCGATCGTGAAAAGTGGCTAGAGTGCACGAATTGTACGGAATCGCGAATTTTATATTTAAATTGGCACTTGCGCGGAGTATGTATGTAGTGTATGGAGCGCGGTATTTTTCTACCGGGGAGTGGTATTTTTATGGTATGGAATTATGTATGTTATGTCACTAACCATACAGTATATAGATGTGCCAGTTCATACAACGAAAGGGGCGCAGCTGAGGTTTCTGTCCCAGCACCCCCAGGTCTTCGGCTAGGGTGCTGGGACCATTCGGCTGTGGTGCTGAGACGTTCGGGTCGTGGGCCTGAGACGTTCGGCATTTTTTCGACATGTTCGATTCATGACGAGATGCGAAAGCAAGCTAAGAATTGCAAATGTATGTGTGTAAACCAGGGCTCGGCACGGCCCTATCCCATGGGTGCGGGACAAGGCGCTGCTGCTGCGCTGCCGGTACACCGACAGTATAAAAAAGCAGCGGCGCTTCGTATGGCTTCGGCAATGCGACTTCGGCACTTGTTGTCTCGTTTTCACACCAGATACAGAACGAAAATGGCATCAGTTGCTGATCAGCCGTCATCAATGTGAGACCAGGCTACGCAACTACTGAAATATACACTGAGACAAAAAATGTTCGATGGGAATTGGGAAAACAAATTTTTCTTTGTCCAAAATACTCAATTTTTTGTATTATTTTGCTTTAAACTTTTGTTTTCCTTGAAAGTTTCAACACGAAATAATTGCAGCATCAACCACAAATAGATTCGTGCAGTGTAAAGCAAGAAACCGGTTTCGGCGTAGGCATCTTCGTGTTTTAGCTACGCACACAAGCGCACTTCACTGTATGGGTGCCGAGCCCTGGTGTAAACAGACACGACAAGATTTTGTATCAATTCTTATTTTCCGAAACAGTTTTGAGTTTGTTTTGAGTTTCGTTTCCAGGTTACGTAAATGTGTGTGTGCCATGTATTCACACATACTGTGCTTGTGTGTGTGGCCGCATCAACCCTCAACCGGGTTCGAGTCGAGCGACAGAACACACCAAGAAAATATGAAGTCTTACGACGGGAATAGGTCCAGGGCCGGATTAGCAGTTGCCTAGGGCCCTCCTAGAAATAACAGAAAAATTTTGTTGAAAAAACAAAACTCCAAATAATGAATAAAATATATAATAGCCACTGAAAAAAATACAAAATAAAGGAGGGCCCCAGATTGATGGTTGCCCAGGGCCCGGTTGAGGGTTGATCCGGCCCTGAATAGGTCGCTACATCACATCAGCCCTCAAAACAAAACGAAAAACCAATCCAAGCGGCCAACAATTGTAGAGCCCACACACAAGCACAGTATGTGTGAATACATGGCACACACACATTTACGTAACCTGGAAACGAAACTCAAAACAAACTCAAAACTGTTTCGGAAAATAAGAATTGATACAAAATCTTGTCGTGTCTGTTTACACACATACATTTGCAATTCTTAGCTTGCTTTCGCATCTCGTCATGAATCGAACATGTCGGAAAAATGCCGAACGTCTCAGGCCCACGACCCGAACGTCTCAGCAGGCAGCCAAATGGTCCCAGCACCCTAGCCGAAGACCTGGGGGTGCTGGGACAGAAACCTCAGCTGCGCCCCTTCCGTTGTATGAACTGGCACATCTATATACTGTATGGTTAGTGGTTATGTACATATATAGCTGGCAATGACTAGTTAAGCCGGTGTTTTCACCAGGTCCCGACGGAGTTCCCGGCTGTGTACTCAGGTACTGTTCCGACGCTCTGTGTGGACCCTTGCTTAAACTATTCACCCTATCTATTAACTCTTCATGCTTCCCCCCCATCTGGAAGGAATCTTTTATTATTCCGCTCCATAAGAAAGGTAGCAAGTCTGATGCAAATAATTATAGGGGTATATCTAAGTTATCCGCTATTCCTAAAATGTTTGAAAAAATTTTAACTCCGCACTTGCAACATCTCTGCAAATCACTTATATCTCCGTCCCAGCACGGATTTATAAGGCGACGATCAACAACCACAAATTTATTAGAGTTTACCTCTTTTATCATTAAAGGCTTTCAAGGTAACTTGCAGACGGATGTCATTTACACTGATTTTAGTAAAGCATTTGATTCTGTAAACCATTCCCTTTTAGCACAAAAACTTGACCTTTTAGGGTTTCCGCCTAATCTTTTGAGATGGATTTCTAGCTACCTTTGTTCTAGGTCTCAAAGAGTCCTCTTCAAAAACTCCTTCTCTTCACCTGTTAAGGTTACTTCTGGAGTACCACAGGGCAGCCATCTAGGCCCCCTACTATTCACACTCTTTATTAATGATCTGCCTTCAGTATTAACAAACTCTCGAGTACTCATGTATGCGGATGATGTTAAACTTTGTGTCCAGTATAAGGACATTTCATTTCACTCTCGCTTGCAATCCGATCTCAATAACTTTCAATCATGGTGTTGTGCAAATATGTTACACCTAAATGCCTCGAAATGCAAAGTAATGACATTTCATCGCTCCAGCCCCCTATTGGCTCCTTATAGCCTGATGATGATCTTGGTGTTAAATTAGACCCAAAGTTGAAGTTTTCTGAACACATTTCTACCATGGTAGATAAGGCCATGGGTGTGCTTGGGTTTATAAAGAGGTGGTCAAAGGAATTTGACGACCCCTATATAACGAAGACTCTCTATATCTCGCTTGTTCGTCCGATTTTAGAATACGGCTCTTGTGTATGGTGCCCCCAGTACAAAGTACACCAGGACCGTATAGAATCAGTCCAGAAAAACTTTTTACTTTTTGCTCTGCGTGGCCTTAACTGGGATGCAGGTGTGAGACTGCCATCTTATCCTCGTAGATTGCTTTTAATAAACCTTCCAACCTTAGTTAGTCGTAGAAAAATGCTTGGTGTGATTTTTATGCACAACCTGATCAAGGGTGATGTAGATAGCCCTGACTTGTTGAGGCGCATAAACTTTACGATTCCTATTAGATCTACTAGAAACTTCATTCCTCTTTTCCTTCCGCTTTGTAGATCGAATTATTCCTTGCACGAACCATTTAGGGTACTTTGCTCGGACTTCAATTCCCTTTACCACATAATATCAACTACTAATTCCCTTCCTCTCCTTAAATCACTAATACTAACATACCTTTCCCGTAATTAGTTATATTTTTTAGCTATCTTTGCATGCTTAGCTCTTTGAGTTGTGTTTAGCTCTAATTTTCCTCGAATTTTAGTCTAACACCTATCTTTCCAGCATGCTCGCGATCGGTTCGGTAACACGCGTCGCGCGTCATGCGGCAGCGCCCCTCGGTCGGTTGGGCGGGAGGAGGGCTGCGTTTCTGCCTGGGTTCCGCGCGTAACAGGCTTCGGCTTGGTGTCGCATGGGCCACTTGATGGTGCAGTCATTGCATATCAACGTCCAGATACGATCATTTGTTTATTTCATTCGAATCAGCATTTATTTACGTATTTGCTTTTCCTGAAAAGTGATAATTTGTTATCGTTTATTTACAGACAGAAATAACACTTGGGAATTTGTAGTATGTACTCCACTCCCATAAGGTCCTAAAACTGCCAACTGCCGCCCTTGAGAGCTGTTAAAACTTTTCGCCCACTGGCTTGATTATTAGCTCATGGATCTGCACGTTGGGTGGGGTCTGGATGCAGTAGGTCACCGCATCGGCCACGTCCTCTGAACGTAACATTGGAAGGTCTGGCGATGCCCGTATGGTTTTATCAAGGATCTCAGTGTCGACCACACCGGGGCTAATGCTCTAAGAGACGCATATGAAAAGCAGTATTATTGATTGGCCAGAGGAGTTTCTCATTCTCGACTCACTGTTATCTTGGTCCCGGTCTTCTTCTTTAGCTGAAACTCCTGTCGCAGCACCTCGGTCAGGCCGGTGATAGCATGCTTAGAGGGTCCATACATGTTCCAATCTAGGAATCACGAACCATTTAGGGTACTTTGCTCGGACTTCAATTCCCTTTACCACATAATATCAACTACTAATTCCCTTCCTCTTCTTAAATCACTAATACTAACATACCTTTCCCGTAATTAGTTATATTTTTTAGCTATCTTTGCATGCTTAGCTCTTTGAGTTGTGTTTAGCTCTAATTTTCCTCGAATTTTAGTCTAACACCTATCTTTCCAGCATGCTCGCGATCGGTTCGGTAACACGCGTCGCGCGTCATGCGGCAGCGCCCCTCGGTCGGTTGGGCGGGAGGAGGGCTGCGTTTCTGCCTGGGTTCCGCGCGTAACAGGCTTCGGCTTGGTGTCGCATGGGCCACTTGATGGTGCAGTCATTGCATATCAACGTCCAGATACGAAAAAGAGAATATATTGCGGCCAACTATGGGAATAAATGTATGAATGTATGGAAATAAATATATATGTGTTTATAGGTGTGGTATCACTTGATGTGATTGTAGTTGCACTCGGAGTGTGCCAAAGTATATTTTATTGGGGTGGGTCGTGCTGGAATGCACCTGTAGAGACACGGATGTAGATGTGTGTGTATGTACGCCGCTCTTATGGGCTGGAATGTACGTACATAAATATGCTCGGAATGCATTTTTTAAATTAATTTTTAGTTATTTAATTTGTCCGGAAGTAATGGACAGACACAAGGAATTGAAGAACTACCGTATCACTGGTAGTTGGAGATGAACGAAGGGAGAACGACCGGAATTGCCGATAATATTGCGGTGTCGAAAAAAGAAGAAACGGATAACGGATGGCACAGAATGAAGAAATAAGTACATATATAAGAATATATATATGTACTTATATTGCGGAACTCGGACTTTTCGGAATTTTGGAACACAAATCGCGAATGGAAGGGATTTGTGGCACCCGAAAATTGTACTTATCTTGGGATCCTGGAGTGGTGAAGGCGATGCCGTGCTCGAAGGCTGGATATAGTTGGGGAAGGCGAAGTAGATCCGGCTCGAAGGACCAATGTTTGAGCGAAGAAGCGTCTCGAAGTCCCACAGATGAGTTCCAAGATAAAAACAATGCACGTCTAAGTTCTTCAATGTATATTCGGGGTTTATTCTGTGCTTATATATATAGATATGTATTTATGGTTCGCGTGCAAGGCCGTTTGCTTGTGGGTGAAGAAGCGTATTAATTCTCGTTGGTACTCAAGCTGCCGAGGGCTGTCGGAGGCGAGAGCGGGAGCATGAGCGTGAGCGTGGTGAATATGCGCTCGAGAGCGCGTCACCGGGGGAAAAAAGCTCCTAAGCGTGAGAGCGAGGGCAACAGCTTGCGTAGCTGGATTGCTAACAGTGGTGTGGCTGGAATGCCCACAGAGCTGTTGCCCCTCCAGCGCCGTCCTCACTCTAAACAGGTATTATTATAATCTGGCAACTCTATATAATAAATGGTCAGTCTATATCTAGCACTCAATTGGAATGTTCTTATTTGCACTTCCGTTTGTGCCTTGAAGGTGGTTTGATGTGTTTTGCTCGCGCTCCGGAAAAAAAAAAAAAAGGAAAGGAAAGAACAAAACTTTGGTTCAAAATTAAATCCATCAACACGGAATACTAGCCGGTTGTTTGTTTAATCGAGCTTCTTATATAAAGATTGAATAAATTTGAAGGATTACAATTTTATTAAAGGATTAAGGTGAGTCTTGTGAATTGAAAGTTTTGGTGAAGCAGAGTGTGAAAGTGGCTGACGCCATGGCGTCGAGCCAGAATTGTGAGTCGATGGAGGATATCTCGTCTGATATGGAAGAGTCATCTGATTTCTCAGCACCGGACAATTCCGGTAAAGCAATTAAGAGAAACGCGATAATTAAAAAGGCAATTTGCAAGGCTCCGCGTATGGACAAAAATGTGTCAGGAAGTAAGGTTAAGGTGAGCTCTTTAGACTTAAAAGACATGCTTCATACTGAAGTTGTTCAGAAAAGTGGTGTTCTAGATGTTGAGACAAGGATTAAGCAAGGGAATACAAATAGTGATGACTCAGCAAATCAAAAAAAATGGACGGAATATAAGTATGACGTTAGTTTTGTTGGCGAAGCGGCTGTCATTTTTAACACTGGTCAGGTTGAAAATATTCAAAATATTAGGGTTAAGAATGGTCTGTTTTTCTACGAAAAAATTAAAGGGCTAACGCTGCCAGGGCTTTGCAATATTGTTGCTTTAGGCATTTCGTCTTACAAGGTATATTTCCAGAATGGAAAGTTTGCAAATGAGGCTGTGAGGAACGTTAATTTAAAAAGCATGAACATATCAGCGTATATACCAGGGGATTATGTAGAAACATATGGAGTTATTAAAAATATCCCTGTTGAAATAACAGATGAAGAAATACTGATGAACATCAAGTCGGACGTTCCTGTTAAGTCGGTGACTAGATTAAGACGCAAGGTAAAATCAGAGACAGGGGCTACTGAAGTAGTGTGGGAACCCACTCTATCAGTGAAAATTGGTTTTTCAAATGTAGAAATCCCATCTCATGTTGTTTTGAATTACTGCAGACTAGAAGTTTCTCATTTTTTACGAAATATTTTACAATGTTTTAACTGTGGACGGATTGGTCACGGTTCAAGAACGTGTAAAGCAAAGAAGCGTTGTCTACGTTGTGGTGCGCCGGAGTGCACATCTCCGAATTGTCAGGTGTACAAATGCATTTTATGTAACAGTAATGAACACACGGCTCGTGATAAGAACGTATGTCCAAAATGGGCACTTGAGGAAAAAATAATGAAAGTTATGTGTGTAAAGAAATTGTCGAGGAAAGAAGTGACATCCCAATACTCGATAAATAATCGATTTGATTTATTATCCCAAAATGAAAACGCTTTTCCTGCTCTACCATCGAAAATGCCTGAGACAATAGATAAAAACGAGCTTGTAAACAATATCATAAATAGTAATCGATACACCTCAATAGTAAAAAACACCTTAGTTCCCCCACAACAAAATTTCCGTCATTTCTCATTACCATCTTATACTCATGACACTTCAGAACATAAATTCCAATACCCAGTGAAGGAGGATATAAAGTTTGCTGATATTTGTGCTCAACTTTTTCGCTTAATAACACCATTCATTGATTCGGATGAAGTGTTATGTGAGTCCTTTCAGGATTTAAAAGAAAAATTTATAAGAACAGGCAAATCTAGTAGAATGTTTTTGGAGAAAAGTTTGAATCAGAGCCAGACTTTAAAAACACAATAAACATGTCAGTTAAAATATTTCAATACAACATTCAATCGCTCAAAGCAAATAAAAATGACCTAGAGTTTCTCCTTAATAATGAAGATTTTGATTTTGCGTGTCTTTCTGAGATCTTCTCCCATGGAGATGATCCTACTTTTAGAAACATTTTAAATTTTAAAGCTGCTGAAAAACTTAGAGCTGACAATTATGGAGGTACTTCGGTACTAGTAAAAAATAAAATTCTTTTAAAAAAAATTCCTTTCATTGCTACATCTGACATATCAATTATACAAACAACCAATTTATCCCGAAATCTCACAATAGCTTCAGCCTATTGTGAGCCAAATGTACCTCTAGATGATTTTAAAACAGACATTAAAAGACTTTTTGATAGCATGGAAAATCTTCAAGATGTATTCATATGTGGAGATTTTAATGCTCGTAATAGTGTATTCGGTGATAGTATGACCAATTCCAAAGGTCGTTTCATAGAAGATGTTTCCTTAAATGCTGGTTTCAAGTGGTTGAATGATGGGAGCTTAACCTTTAAACAGTCTCTAAATCTAATGTCGGGTTCAGTTTTGGATTTGACTTTTACCAATTCTGATTTGCTTTTTGACTGGCATATCCGTCCGCTAAGGATTGGTGGCAGCCATCATTTTCCTATATCAATTACAATCCAGAATATCAAAATAAAACCAAAGTTCTTTCTGTCTAAAGTAAAGTTACTTTCAAAACTGAACAACATTAGAGAGTTTCAGAACATTAATGATATAACAAACAAGGTGAAAAATGAAATTAGGTCATGCACTCACATATTAGAGAAAAGGTCTCCAAAGTTCTGGTGGACTGACGAACTTACACTTTTAAATAGAATTTTTAAGTCTACGCAAGCTAAAGCTATCAAATATCCAAATGCAGAGAACTTTGAAGCGGCCAGCCAAGCTCGACTAAAATGGAAAAATGCTGTGAAAAAAGCAAAGAGAAACTCTTATCAGGATAAAATTGAAGAGATTAATCAGAGTCCTTCGTCTAGGAAATCTTGGCAATTTTTGAGGAATCTTAAAGGTCTAGGGAAACCTCAGATGCAAGAGTGGTCTCCATCCAATAACAGGGAATATTTAGACTTTCTGAGCAGTCAAATTCCACAAACAGAGTTAACTGCAACTGTTCCTAATAACATGGCTAACTCGCAGAGTACAGAAACATTTTCTATGAAGGAATTAAGTGAGGTTATTAGAAATAAAAGATCAACGGCTGGTGGCATTGATGGGATCACATATGAAATGCTAGCATCTCTTTCGGAAGAGGTAATACAAAAACTATTGTCTTGTTTTAATGAGTTATATGATAGCTGCCAATTTCCAAATGCGTGGCGAAGCATTAAGATTTGTCCAATTCCAAAATGTGGTAAACCACTAGATGACATCAAAAACTTCAGACCAATATCGCTAATCTCAGTTCTTGCGAAATCTGTAAACGGCATGGTTAAAAATAGATTGTCTGAGTTTGTGGAAAAGAACAAGTTACTGCCCTTTAGGTGTTATGCTTATAGGAAAAAGAAAAGTGCTTCCATGTGTATTAACGATCTTTTGTCAACCATTCATTGCCTCAAACGGCAAAATAAGAAAATAATAGTTGCTTGCCTTGACATAGAAAATGCGTATAACTGTGTAAATTTGGCATTTTTAAAAAAAATCATGTTGTGGATAAAAGTTCCTAACCAAATTATACTATGGATTCTAAATTTCTTGTCAGTAAGGTTTT